TATTGGATGAGTTGCATTGTAGGAATACTGCTGGGCACTTTGTTCAGTGAAGGGAAATCCAGCTGACAATATCTACCCCCATCACCACCTAGTGGTGCAGGAATTACATTTTCTGCAAAGGCTTATGCTAGTATTTCAACACTCTCCCTTTTTATCTGCTTGGGTGGGTCATAAAACTGTGCTTAGGGATAAATATTAATCAGATTATTTACTAATTCCTGGAACACAGGGACATATTTGTGTAGAGTCAGGAATTTTTTTCTTTTTTAAAACTGTAAAATGTTTTCAGAATGCTTTCTATCTCAAAAAGGAGCAGGGGTGGTTTTTAGTCCCTCCCACAACCAAGAACGACCATGTGGGAGACCTGAATTATTTTAATACTTTAGCAGAGGAGAAGAAAAAAAAAGATATATATCACTCACTGAGGCTCAAGGTCAAAAAGACAAAGATTATCACCACAGGACCAATTGGCAGTATCAGGGTGGATCGTGAAGAGATTGAGATTGTTAACAACTTTAATCAGCTTGGCTCCACAGTCAACACTCTTGGCATCAGTAGATGGAAATAAAAAAAAAATGTACTGTGATGGGAAAGTCTGTTGTTAGGGACCTCTCCAAAGTACTAAAGAGCAATGGTGTCATTCTGGAGACTATGGTGCGTCTGATACAGGCCATGGTCTTTGCGATCACTTGTTATGCATCAGAGAGTTAGACAATGACTAGGGAGAATAGAAGGAAAATTGATGCCTTTGAGCTGTGGTGCTGGAGAAGAGTATTGAATGTACCATTGACTGCCTGGAGGAGAAACAGGTTCATCCTGAAGAGGGTTAAAATAGGCTGCTCCTTGGAGGCAAGGATTCTGGGGCTTCGTCTGACATACTTTGGACATGTTGTAAGGAGGGATAGGTCCTTGGAGAGGGACATCATGCTTGGCAGGGTGGAGGGACAGCACAGGAGGGGAAGGCCCTCTATGAGGTGCATTGATTGAGTGACTGGGGTAATCGGGATGGGAGTGTCAGAGACAGTGCGATTGGCACAGGACAGAGCAGAGTTTTGGGCTCTTGCACACAGGGTCGCTATGAGTCACAGTTGACTCAACGGCACGTCATAACAACAACAACAACAACAACATTACTTATTTCTATTAGCATAATCATCCCTCCCTGTTTATAAAACTTTTTCCCCTCCTACTTTGAATTTGATCTATATTTAATGTCCTGTTCTTGCTCTATCAATGAAAGTTATAATTTTTGTATTTGAATAGAGGACACAAGTATCAATCTGAAATGAATACATATGATTAAACAGTATGTATATAGCAATTAACAGTCTGGATTGAAATGACAATATATGGGCTTATTGTTCACGCTGGCTTTTTTTAGGCCACTGACTTTCCCCCATTGTTGGGGCTTTTTACTGCCTTTGAGTCAAGCATGACTAATATTGATCCTATGAACAAAAGGCCTGAAGCCCCTCTACAACTCTTGACATTTATCAAAGTTCATCGAGTTTCCAGAGGCATGTGGTTTAGGAAGTGGAAGCCATTCCTGCTTCCAAATCTGTCATAGTACATTATTATTTATATGTGTCATTGAGTTGCCTGTGACATTTAGAGACCCAATGTATATAGCAGCACGCAACCCCTCCGTCCTGAGCCAGTCTCACGAACTCTGACACAGCAACCCCCATCACCCCAGTTACTCTATCAATCCGTCTCACTCAGGATCTCCCTCTCCTGTGCTGTCCCTCCACCCTTCCAAGCATCATGTCCTTCTCCAAGGATCAATCTCTCCTGGCCACGTGCCCAAAGTAAGTGAGGCGGAGTTTCAAAATCCTAGACTCCAAGGAAAGACAT